ATCATTTGATTTGTGACTACCAGATTGATTTCAGCCAAAGTTCTTTTAAATTTTTGACATACATTTGACCTGAAACAACATTAATGGCTATTAGATCTTCCATCAACAGTGAGCCGCTACCACACTGCCTGAGTAATGTCCACCTGATACCAACCTGCAACCGAATGATACTCGAAATAACCTTTGCCAAGCTGTACACCTGGGCCATCAATACACTGAGGGAAGCTGTCTTGAATGCTGATTATCTATTCAAAACATCCGGCATCAACCCAAATAGTGCATTTGCTAATGGCAATAGTTTGGGTACCTTCCCACCTGCCAGGTTTCTTTTAGCGATGGTGACGATGCTGACATCAGAACACCAGGCCAACAGTCTGAGTCTGCTTTTGAATTCAGGAGTTCTAGGACTAACACAAACTGTACTACGACTTGCTGGTAGGTTTATTATTTATGTGTTTTTCATTTAGCTATGCTGCAAAAGTTTGATTATATCAAAGCCAATTGTTTATCTTCGTTTCTTGCAATATTTAAACTGAAACAGTATTTGTGAATACTGCCCTCTTGTTCCACATTTCATTAAACTTTTGTTTTTATCCTAATTTGGTATTGTTTCTTCACAAATCAGGTCCCAATCCAGACTCTATTGAGGAAGAAGATGATCCACATGTAGCGTCTGTGGTGGAGGAGACTAAATCACAACCACAGCCAGCACCACTTCCAACAAGTGGACCTGAATTAGCTGCTATGATGAAAATAGGGACCAGAGTAGTTCGGGGACAGGACTGGAAATGGGGTGATCAGGTAAGATAAAATGACTTGTTTTTGTAATGTACCAATCAAATCAGTGAGGAGTATACAACAAATGTAAGTGTATCGTATCTGTTTTATTAAAAGTGTAATATAATAATAGGTCATTTGAATGAGTACTTGCACCTCTAATAAAGCTAATCCAGGAATAGATTATGATACTGTAAAATACTTTATTTTCGTTTGGAATTTATTTTCGCTATTTTCGCTGAAGAAATGATTCAGTGGAAATAAAATCCAGCGAATATACCTTTTTTCCTATATTTTACTTTCAATTCATCAAAAATCAGTGAAAATAAATTCCATACAAAACTCCCAAAAAGTCTTTTCCGTGAAAATGAATCCCAGCTAAAATAAAGTATTTTACAGTAAACCATTGTTTAATTAAAACAATGAAACACAATCGATAACAAATTGTAGCTGTTGATTGATATAGGATCCACACACACCACTCATGACTGAAACTAGTTTTTATGTATCGTTAGGATGGGCCACCCCCAAGTGAAGGCAGAGTGATAGGAGAGTTAGGTGAAGATGGCTGGATACGTGTACAGTGGGATACAGGTAGTACAAACTCTTATAGAATGGGCAAAGAAGGCAAGTATGACTTGAAACTAGCTGGCCCTCCACCCATGCAGAATACAGAAGAGGATGACAAAGAAGTAGATATTGATCCAGGTACACATATCTAATTTTTTAAGTTGAAAGATTCTTGAACTTGGTACAAAAACGACCAACACATGATTGACGCTTGTTTTCATTTGCACCAGTCTAAGAATGGTAACATGTTGACTTTAATAGTGGCCAACAAAACCAACATGCTGCAATACACTAGAGTAATGTCCATCGATCATTAAAATTTGATGCAATAAAACCATGCAAAACAGACTAGAAATGAACATGAGTGAATATAAAACAGTGTACACATGCTTCAGAAAATCAAGGAGTTTGTACTTTTCAAAAATTTGGATGGTGAAGCGTGGAGTCACACGAATTATGAATGATTTACGTTTCACCTTTGATGAACAACAGTTCCTTACATTTCTATTCTTTTCATTGTTAACTGATAACCAGCAGAGCAAATTGAAAATAAAATGAAATGCTAGATTTTAGTTAAATAATTCGGCTCTTCTGAAATGGTAATTATTAAAAAGTGGTACAATCAATGGAGCTTTTTTTTGGGAGTTTGTCAAAAATAATGGTAATTCAACATTAATGAATGTGTATTTCTGTTTCCAAATCGTAGCACACCCTATATAGATAACCTACTGTGGTGGGAGTGTCTGACATTTGTAGACATGCCTCCCTCACAAATGCTATGTGCTTAATGGTTCAAAAACATACTTCAAGGCAGTACTAAACTAAATTTATTTTATCAACAGCCATCAGTTATAAGAGAGAAAGTAGCCATCCTACTGTGTTGATACACTATGCTGGAGTGTGTTTACTCAGATCGTTGGCAGTGTGTACTGGTGTGCATGCTGAAAACATGCAGAAAGAAGCTGTGCGTACAGTGTGTGGATTATTACGAACACTGGTAGATGCAGGCTGCTCTAACGATTCCAGTAAGTTCAATTCTTACTTACATTACATTCTTTATGTATTTGTATGCCTTGGATGTGGTGTGTGTGTTAAGTATGAGGTGTACATGAAAACTGCACTAGAATGTTTGGATGTTGTGATGCTAGTCCATTATAACCAATATACCAGAGCATTTCACAAGTATTTCATGTCAGTTGTAGAGGTTTGATCATAGAAATTCTGCATAGATTTATTAGTTCTGCCTTTATTTTTGAAAACCATACAAATTTAGCATATAACGCTATACATATAAAGTTGACTTGCTTTTCACAAAAAAAACAAGTTGTCATTAAGCTGTTTTTCATGCATTCCTGGGCCAATTTTATTTAATTTTTTGATCAAAATCACTCATGGTGCGTTACTGATGCATGTCATTTTGTTTCATGATTTTTTTCCTGCAAATGCATGTTTTCTTCCGCACACAACCCACCCTTTGCACCCACCCACCCATCCATAACTTTGGGATATCTGGTGTTTAACTTATAAAAAATCCTTTTGAGAAAGTACCGAAGGCGACAGTGTCATAAAAGTAATGAATGGCCCACAGCACCATATTGAATCAGTCAATATGAAGTCAATTTTATGTGAGACTAACTCATAGTAATGGTGTAACACAATGTGCAAATATGCGCAATGATATGTTTTATTATCAGTGCTTAAATGCAACAAAAACAATTTCATCTTGATGCCCAATGAGTTTGCATGAGTGTCCTTCTATATTTTGGATATTTTATGTTATAAATTCATTTTAAAAATCTTGGCCTTGAAAGTGAAGTTATGGTGTGTTTAACCATTGTTTCATTATACCACAACTCTGAATTTGTTCATTTCACAGGTGCACAGTCGTCAGTAGCATATCAGCAGTACCGTGAATGGGCAACTCTGGGATTTACTCGAAGTATAGCTACTTCACCAGCCGTGTGTTGTGCACTCAGCACACCACAGTGGATAAAACAATTACTGAGGCTTATTGGATATATGAACAGTCCACCCACAGCAGATACCTTACCAAGACAGGTAAATGTAGCAATATATTGTGTTCATAGTGAATCAAATAAATCCTCATTCTAAGTCACATATATTGTGACTGATTCGTATATTGTTTCCATACTGTGATTATTACTGTACATTTGGTCACCAAAATTATATTACATTTTCGACAGATCTATTTGATTGTCTTACGACAATAATTACTTTGACAAATGGAATCATCCTCTGATATTTACCAAGGTTTGCTTGTATGTCAGGAAACTGAAGACCTATTTTCATTACAGGTGCTAGCACTGCGTGTATTACGAGCTGTGTTGCCGTCCTGGGATATGAGTCAGCATAGGTGTATTATGAGTCATCTAGTTGAGGAGGTGTTCAGTCTTCTTGGTAGCGTACTCTTAGCATGTGCACATGATTCATCATTACTCATATCAGGTATTTCTTTATTTCACATATTTAAAGTTTATCACTTCTATGTTATATGAACAACTTTATTGTTATTCTGATATAACATGCCTCATGAGCTGTGTTTTCTAACTGGGTTAATGATCATCTAGGAGTTATGACACATATTCTTCATTGAATCAGTCTCAATCAATCATCACTCACTGGTCATTTACTAGGGAGTATCTATCACTGTTCAGCACTGGAACAGAATACTGGATCCATTATTAAAAAGTATTACCTTTCAATTCCAATAATGAAATGGCAGACATTTTATTTTGTTTCATTTGGTGGCTGTGATAAGTTGTCTATGAGTCACAGTTTAATACTAGTATAATATTAATAATAATAATAATAATATAGAGTGGATTTAATATTTATGTTCAGGGGAAAACAAACTGTAATGGTTTTTTTTGAGGAGAAGGGGATTGGGCAAAATTGCTATATATACTTGTTTAATTATAAAAAAAAATTATCTTTGAACTACTGTAACAACACCATAAACACTGTGTTTGTCTTGTTAGGTGAAGGAATCAAGAAGAAGAAACATCCTAAAGCACAGGTATCCTTGACGGCATCATTCAGCAGTACAGTTGCTGAAGAGATAGTGTCATTGCTGAGAAAACTGCATTCATTGGAATCCTGGAACCCGCTAATCAACCAGTTTATCTCTAACGGTTTACGTTTGATTTCCGATATGGTTTCTGACAGGCCAGTTGTTCTGAGTGCAGAGGTTGGTATTATGAAATCACTATCTGGGTTTTTGCTACTCTGTTTGCCAATGCTGATTGCTTGTAATTAGCCTGTTCAATAAAACATGGTGCATAGAAGGTTTAAGGTAATGCACAGATTCAACCCGTTTTTAGTGAAATCTGTGCATATTAATTACCTAATTTGCATAATAGCCATTTTGCAATCTTTTTTTTTTTTTATTGATATGCTTAACAAAACAAAGATACAATACACAAATACAATACAGGTTACTACACAAATACAGACTTGTGCTTCAAAATAATTAATGAATTCTCCCCATTTTTTATTGTGACTTCCCTGTCTGATTTCTATAATTGCGACTTTCTCTGTATGATAAATTAATTTGATATATGATCTAAAACCACCAATGTCTGGTTTTGTCCCAACAATTTTACATTTAAATATATAATAACGTGTCAATAATAACATAGTATTATGTAATTGTCTAGCATTGTATACATCCCCCAAAATACATGTTACTGCCCTTAACGTCAAAGTATCACCTGTAATGAAAGAAAACCATTCATTGACTGATGTCGAAA